CTCCTTTGTGGTGCCAAGGAAGTCTCAGCGAACCCCGAAAGATCAGTCAGGAGTTGATCTGATGCAGTCACAACAGGTTCTTTATTTGAGCTAGCTCAGGCTCAGCCCACCTCTGACACACAGGACAGTTTTGGTGGAGAAGATCCCCAAATACTTACAGGGCAAGGTTTTATAGAAAATGGCAAGCAAGGGGTAAGTGTTTCGAGCCTGGCAAGTATCTAATTGAAGAGCTACTGTGGTCTTTAACATAATTGGCTGGTGCTGGGAGTCAAACCATAAACTTAACTTCTGCTTCCCTCTGCATTGGTGGTCGTCAGGCCGGGGGCGGGCTTGTTGGGAATTAACCTGGAAATGCTGGATTTGTTGGGAGCTTCTTGGGGTTAGCCTAGAAATTGGAGCTCAGGTTTTGTTGGGGGGTGATTTGGAAACTAATACTAGGTACAGGCTTTGTGTTCAAACTTAGGTCAAGATCTCTGAGATGGAGTCTGAACTTAAAAGATTTGGTCTTTCACGTTTATCAATAAACTGACAGCAAAATGTAAGAGCCAGGCTTGAGCCATGCAAAGCAGGTGACGGGCAGGCCTGAGTCATAAAAAGCAGGTGACAGGCAGGCTTTGGGAGGTGGCCTGATCCTGTCCAATGTTCTGATTACACTCACTGCTCTTTTTGGTTTGTTTGTTTAAGACAGGGTTTCTCTGTATAGCCGTGGCTGTCCTGCAACTGTCTCTGTAGACCAGGCTGGCTCAGGGATCTGCCTGCCTCTGCCTCTCAAGTGCTGGGATTAGGGGTGTGTGCCACCACTGCCTAGCATCTTGCTCAATTCCTTTGCTGAATTTCATGCCTTTTTCAAAGTTGTGGGTTGTAGCCCCTTGGGGGTGAGGAACCCTTTCACAGGCGTCACATAGCGGATATCCTGCATATCAGATATTACATTGTACTCATAATAGTAGCAAGTCACAGTTATGAAGTAGCAGCAAAAATACTGTTATGGTTGGGGGGTCACCACACCATGAGGAACTGTATTAAAGGGTCACAGCGTTAGGAAGGTTGAAAACCACTGCCTTAAAGCATCAGGTGGGCTAGTAACCTCTCTGATGGCTTCTGTCTACACATCTGACATACCTGTCGCTCCCTCAGGAGACCCTTTCAGCAAGTGACTTTCCATCTACCTGCCTTCCCATGGTCTCTTCCACTGGGGCAGGGGAGGGTAGGGGGATAATACCAAGGACTTACACGAAGACTGTATTTTTTTTTTGAGTGTTTGTATTCACTTTTAAATTGGGACTTCCACACTCGTCCATTTTTGGATCTTCCAAGAATTTCTCGGTGTTTTTGTTTGTTGGGAACGATGTCTAGCTTTCTAGTCGTGGCACAGACTTAAAAGCAGATGGCCACTTGGGCAGAAAGCCAAATCCAAAAGTGGATCTTTCCTGGATTAAGACTAGTTCCCTGGTTTAGACGTCTCAACAGCATGAGAGAGCCTCGTTCTTTAAAATGGCTTTAAAAATCTGAGGAACAATTCGGATAATTTTTAAAAATCAGATATATTTAGCCAAGTATAGTGGCACATGGCTTTAGTCCTAGCACTTAGGAGACAGAGGTGGGTGGACCACCATGAACTCATCTACATAGAGAATTCCAGGCCAGCCAGAGTGACATAGCAGGATCATCTTGCTCAAAAGTAAATAAATATCTTAAAAATAAAAAGTCATATATAATTAAGATATTACTATCATACCTATTTTCATGTTCATGGTTTTAAAAGCGAGAACCCAAACCATCTCTCCTGTTCTTTTTTGTGGCTTTTGAGAAAGGGTCTCACGTAGCCCAGGCTAACCTCAAACTCAGTAAATAGCCAAGGATGACCTTGAAATTTTTTGTCCTTGCAGTTGTTTTTTGAGACAGTGTTTCTCTGTGCAGCCTTGGCTGTCCTGGAACTCAGGCTGACCTTGAACTCACAGAGATTCTCCTGCCCCTGTCTCCTGAGTGCCGGGCTTAAAGGCATACACCATCACTGCCCACTTGATCTTGAACATCTAGGCCTCCAGCCTCTACCTCTCAGATGCTGGGCTTGTAAGCATGCATCACCCATGGGCCATGTTCCATTTTATTTTGTACTAGGATAGAACCCCAGACATCATACATGCCAGGTGAGCAGTCTACCCACTGAACTTCATATTCAGCTGCTTATTTATTTATTTATTTATTTCCTTATTTATTTATTTATTTATTTATTCATTCATTCAGTCAGTAAGTCAGTCAGTTGAGGTTGCTCATGCCAGTGCTTGTGAGCCATTGTACCCAGCACAATACCACCACCACCATCTTTATCATCATGTGGTTCCCCTGCCCCAAGCTACCAAGTAGGGAGACTGGCTAGCTAGCAAGCCCCAGGGACCTGCCTGTCTGTGGTGGTTTGAATATGCTTGGCCCATGGGAAGTAGCACTATTAGGAGGTGTGGCCTTGTTTGGAGTAGGTGTGGCCTTGTTGGAGGAAGTGAGTCACTGTAGGAGGTGGGCTTTGAGGTCCTATGCTCAAGCACCATCCAATGCAGAAAAGATCTTCCTGACTGCCTGCAGAAGAGAGTCTCTCCTGGTTGCCTTTGGATCAAGATGTAGAACTTTCAGCTCCTCCAGCACCATGTCTGCCTGCATGCTGCCATGCTTCCTGCCATGATGATAATGGAGTGAACCTCTGAAACTGTCAGCCAGCCCCAATTAAATGTTGTCCTTATAAGAGTTGCCTTGGTCATGGTGTCTGTTCACAGCAGTAAAGCCCTAAGACACTCTCCCCCAACTATGGGATTACAAGTCACTATGCCCTATTTTTCTTTTTATTTATTTTGTTAGTTTCTTTGTTTTTCTACATAGTCCTGGCTGTCCTGGAACTCACTCTATAGACCAGGCTGGCCTTAAAGTCAAATCTGCCTGCCGCTGCCTCCCTAGTGCTGAGACTAAAGGTGTGTGCCACCACTGCCGAGCCTTGCAATCACTGCCCGCCTTGCAATCACTGCTCTTGATCAGTTCTTTTGCTGAGTTTTGTACATTTCTCAAAATCTCCAGCTTTCCTGAAAGCAGATGTTCTTAACCCGTGTATCATGATTGCTTGGGGGCGGGGGTGTCACATATCAGATATGTACATTTTCTTCTTGGCTTTTTCTGAAGAGTCGTGCCAAGCAGAAAATCTCATGAGATTTATTGGAGGCTCCAGGGGAGGAGGGAGAGAAATTCATAGATGGCTGTCCTCTGCTCCTGGGAGCGGACAGTAGAGAACTAGACAAAGGGGCAGTGCTTATACAGGATTTCTGAGGAGGAGGAACTTCTCAGGGCAGAGATTTCCAGAGTGAAGATTGGTGAGATTTCAAGTCCTGAGCTTGAGAGAGCTCAGGGATTGGTGTGTTTTCCTGTCCAGGGACTGGTGTGTTTTCCTGTTTGGGGAATGGTGGGTTTCCTGTTCAAATCTCTATTGGGTTTTTGTGCAATGTTCAAGGATTGGTGGGTTTTCCTGCTCAGGGAACATCTGCTTCCAGGAAAGCTGGAGATTTTGAGAAAGTCACAAAACTCAGCAAAAGAATTGATCAAGAGCAGTGATTGCAAGCTGGATAGTGGTGGCTTTTTTTCACCTCCTTTTCCCTCCATTGGCCCATGGGTTAGGGTGGGAAGTCCTTCCTGGCTGCAACCAGCTTTTTGCTGAGGTGCCATCTCTGTGGGGATGTTGGGGACGTGGGGAGGCTGGAGAAGAAGAGGTGCTGCCACTGTGGACCGCTCCTGTGGGATAGCTCCTGCTGTGGCGTTTCATGAAAGCTGTAGGCTGATGCAGGGAAGAAGGTGTCGCTACCGTGGACAGCTCCTCATGCAGGCAGTAGGCTGAGGCAGGAAAGGTGTGTCATTGTGGATGTCACCTGAGGGGCAGCTGAAGCGGGGAAGGCATTGGTGCATCGTCGCGGACAGCTCCCGCACCTCCTGGGGCAGCAGCAGGCTGAGATGTTGTGGTGACACCATTTTGACAGGAGCCGTCATTTTGGACAGCCCCGGTGGGACAATGTACTGTGGCAGCCATTGGAGAGACTTCGGGAAGGAGGGGCCTGCTGCCGTTTTGAAGGCGGTGGAGTTCAGCGCTGTTTGTGGTGCTCCGCTCAGAAACTACAGCCTGTGTCTTAGGAAAGACACCTGAAGGTGGCCTCTGGTCCCCACACGCATGCACACACAGGCACAACAGCTCAGCACACATAAAGCGTACTGTTTGGAAGAATGCTTCAAATCCTTTGGGAGGGCTCCTCCTCATCACTACATACTGAACAAAATCTTCACATTACACTCTAACTTCAGAAACACGAGTGTGGTGGTTTGTATATGCTTGGGCCAGGGAGTGGCTCTATCAGGAGGGGTGGCCTTGTTGGAGTTGGTGTGTCACTGTGGGTGTGGGCTTTAAGACCCTAGTCCTAGCTGCCTGGAAGTGAGTATTCTGCTAACAGCCTTCAGATGAAGAGAGGAGCCTGGCATGGGTGTTAGGAACTGAACCATGCAATAACACAGCACGCTTTAAACCTCTGAGCCATTTCTCCAGATCCATTATTTTTTTTAATAACATTTATTGTGTGGGGGCGTGAGGAGGAGGTGCATTCAATGTGACACACGAGTGGAGATCAAAAGATTACTTGTAGGTAGGTGACTGTCCTCTCCTTCCATCACGTAGGTAGGTCCCAGGGGTCGAACTGAGGTTATAAGGCTTGGCAGCAAGCGCCTTTATCCGCTGGCCATGGCCCTTATAATTCACATTTCTGTGCCCTGAAGGCTGTGTGGATAGGATACCCTACGCTTTCTAGCCTCTAAGCCGTGGATAACTAGCAGGAAAAAAAAAATCAGGAAGCAGTAGGGCCGCTGGTAGTCGCGTTCTCGGTTGCTAGGACACCTCTCCGGAAGTGGAGTGCTCTGGGCCTGACTGGTTGCGGTAGAGAGGCCGGGCGGGGTCCTGTGCGCCGTGGGCGTGGCCGCGCGTGGAGATTGCGCACGCGCGGGCGGGCGCGCCGGTGGAGGATCCGGGCGGTTTAGCTCCTGCTACCCCCAGTCCGTGTCTCCGCTGCTCAGCGTCGTTTCCTCTGCTGATCTCCTGGGACTTGCCTTGTGCCTTCCGATTGCTGTAATTGCATCGTTATCTTTCTTACGGGCTAGTCTAGGTAGGCTTTCAGTGCATCCTCAGTCTGTATTGTTTGAGGTGGCATCTGTTGTGGGGGTGTTGGGGGCGCCGCACCTGTGCGTGTAGCTCAAGGCCGCACCAATTGCTCCTCTGCAAGACTGCACCGACCCGAGATGTTGCCCTCTTTGTTAGGAGGGGGGTCTGGGAGTTGTGGTCCTCTGTGGAGCCGGGCGTGGGGAGGGGGGTTGTAGGGACTGAGTCCTTAACTGCACGCAGGAAGTATAGCCCTGCAAACCAGGTTGGAGTTGGTAAAGCAGGCTTTGTTTGGGAAACATTTAATGAACATAATACAGTGATGTCATCTGACAGCACAAAAAGAAGCCCTGCTCTGCTCTCAATGAATTGTAGATGCTGCTAGACAGCCACTTTAGGTCTTGACACGGGCAACCTACAGTGGTGTGAAGGAGGATGCAGGTCACGGATGTGCAGTAGTATATACTATTTTCTTTATTTAACTATTCTTCCTTATTTGATTTTTAATTATGTGTATATGTTTGTGTCTCAGTGCGGGGGTGTGCACTTGAGTGCAAGTGCTGGTGGACGCCAGAAGGGGGCGCATAGGAGCCCCTCGAGCTGAAGTTACATCGAGCTGGTTGTGAGTTGAGTGCTGAGAACCAAACTTAGGTCCTCTGCAAGAGCAGGACCGGCTCTTACAGCTGAGCCACCTCTCCATCCGCGTAGCTCTTATTTTCTTAGAGATAGCCTTTTCTCCCTTTTATTGAAAGCTTGTTGGAAGATACTGGGAATCCTGGTGTTGTTGGAATTTCACTGACAAGGATTTGTAAAAATGTCAAAGTGAGGGAAGCAGGGTTTTTGCTTTCTGAAGCTGGACACAGAAGAGTGATGGGACTGTGGAGAGTTCTGACCTGCTTGCTGCTCTTAGGCAGGCTGTCTTGACTCCTGTCTGGGCTGTGATCACAGCAGGCGTTGAAGTGCTTCGGAGTACTCCAACAGGCAAGTGTTCTGAGCTGCTCGTCTTCCCCCGAGTTGTATTCTGCACGTTCCTAGAAAGCCAAGTCTTTATGGGCGATTGTTGCTGGTCTTTCAACCCTATAGGGCTGGACTTCCTCTCATTCACTGATTGGCCCGAGTAGCACTTATCTGGTCCTATACAGAGGGAATTCATTTTGGAGTTCTATGGGACAGGGTTTCATGTAGCCCAGGCTGGCCTGGAACTCCCTATGTAGCTGAGGATGACCTCAAATTTCTAATCCTCCTGCCTCTGTTTCCTAAGCATTGGGCTTTCAAGACCGTGCCACCATGCAGGACTCTAATATTTTTATTATTATTAATCATTTATTTATTTTTTTATCGCTATGTGTATGTAGGCACACTTGTACTCCATATGGATGTCAGAGGGTAACGTGGACTTGGTTTTCACCTTTGTGTGCCTTCCAGGAATGAAACTCAGGTCACCAAGCTTGCGAGACACTTGCTTTGCTTAGCCATCTTGCTAACCAATTTTTTTTTTCTTGGTTGTTGTTGTTTTTGAGATAGGGTTTCTCTGTGTAGTCCTGGAGTTCACTAGGTAGACCATGGTATCCTGGAACTCATGGACATCAGCCTGTCTCTGCCTCCTCAGTGCTGGGATTAAGGCATGGCACCACTAGGCCTGGCACAATTCATCAGGTACTTACTAAGTACCAACTGTTGCTAGACACTATTTTGGGGCTGGTGATTTGGCAGGAGGTATGGCATGCTGGTAATCCTGTGCTGACATGTCTGTGTTGAGACATACATGAAGAAGACACGTGGATTTCTTTTTTTTTTAAGATTTATTTTATTTATTTCATGTATATGAGTATACTGTAGCTGTCTTCAGACACACTAGAAGTGGACATTGGATTCCATTACAGATGGTTGTGAGCCACCATGTGGTTGCTGGGAATTGAACTCAGGACCTCTGGAAGAACAGTCAGTGCTCTTAACCTCTGAGCCATCTCTCCAGCCCCCACAAGTGGATTTCATAATTGAGTATGTATGAGAATCATCTGACAGCTCCCTAGGTACTTCTCCAAAGAATCTGAGTAGAACATCATTGGTGGGTGAAGGCAAGAGCCAGTCTTACTTCCTCCTTTGTCTCTTCCCTTCTTCCCTGGCTTCCCTTTTCCCTTTTCTTTCCTTGTGCTGGGGATGATTCCCAGGGCCTCCTGTAAGCCAGGCTCTACCAATCAGCAACACCTCAGCCTCAAAAGGCCGTTTTTCTGTCTAGTTCCATGGGATGCTATGATGCTGGTAATGACTCATGGGTCAGCCACACCAAGAGTAAGAGCCAGACTAAGCCAACATACATGGTACATGCCATAGAGAGAACAGAGTAACTCCCCGTATCCATTGTTTTGCCTTGCATGATTTCAGTTCAGAATATTCTAGAAGTAAACAGTTAGTTCTTTTTAAAATAATGGGTGTTTTTGCTTATGTGTGGCTTGTGTACCAGGTGCTGGCAGTGCAAGTGGAGGCCAGAACAGGGTCAGATTCTCTGATACAAAGTTACAGTTTCTAGCCGCAATGTGCTTACAAGAGCTTCTAGTGCTCTTAACCACTGAGCCATCTCTCCATCCCCAAGAAATAAATGGTTACTAAGTTGTAAGTGGCCCATCACTGTGATTAACCTTGAGGTGCCTTGTTCTGCCTGAGTCAGTAATTCTTCTTTGTCTTGAGCTCACTCAGTGCTTTTACCCATAGGCCCCAGAGTGTAGAGTGGTAATCCTGGCTGTTTGTTTCCATAAGTGGAAATATACAAGCTTGTCACTGGTACATGGATGGGAAGAAATGCAGTTTATGTAGAATTTCAGGCATCAAGCAGGGTCTTGGAGTGCATCCTTTGTGGACAGCGGGGGACTGCTCTATAGTGTTTGTGACACTGACTGGAGATCTGAAGATAGGCTGTCAGGAAAAGCTACTCTTGGGAGTTGACATTTAAGGAGGGGCCAGATCTATGGGAAGAACACAGGCTCCAGACATTCAGTTTGGTGGATGAAGAGGGGGTTGCTGGGGGATGGAAGAGCTGGAGAGAGAAGAATAAAGGCTGATGGGAGACAGGGCTCTGAGGTGATGGCACAGGTAGGGCCAGGCTGGCCTTGCAGGTCTGGCGCAGACTACTGGTTTTACCATTGGTACTATGGCCCAGGGGCTTAGGAGCTGATGGCTTCACCTGATGTGGATGTCCAAGAACCAGCTGGGTCACACTGGGACAGCCATCAGGCCTGTATGTTTGTCCAGCAGAGCTATGGGGCTATGGAGGTTTTGTATGGACTTAGGGTCTTCTGGGACACAGCTGATACCTGATTTGTCCCCTTCAGGATCACACCCAAGCTTTGTCACAGTGTTGTATTTTTTTATTGTTTATTTTTAAAATTCATTTGTTTATGTATTTTTCAAATGTATGAATGTTCTGTCTGCATGTACACCAGCCCACCAGAAGAGGGCATCAGATCCCATTACAGATAGTTATGAGCCACCATGTGGTTGCTGGGAATTGAACTCAGGACCTCTGAAAGAGCAGTCGGTGCTCTTAATTGCTGAGCCATCTCACTGTCACGGTAAGGCAGCTTGCCCTATGTGTCTGTCATGATCTCTGGGACTGGACCATTGCAGTCAACTCTTGGCTGTACCAAGTGACTGTCATTGCTGAGCGGGTAGATTATAAGCCAGGCTGTTAATGGCCATGGGAAATCATGTTGTCCCTCTTGTGAAGGCTGTACCTAGTCACCTGGGGCAGGTGAGTGGCATATTGTCTTCTGTAAATGATCAGTAGACTGACTGGCTTAGGTTAGTCACTTCAGCCTCAGATGGCTTTATCTTGGTTAAGGTGGGTTTTTTTTGTTTTGTTTTGTTTTGTTTTTTTTAGGTTTTTTTGAGACAGGGTTTCTCTGTGTTCTCTGTGTAGCCCTGGCTGTCCTGGAACTCACTCTGTAGACCAGGCTGGCCTCGAACTCAGAAATCTGCCTGCCTCTGCCTCCCAAGTGCTGGGATTAAAGGCATTCGCTATCACTGCCTGGCTGCAAATGTTTTAAGAATTCATTTTTATTATTTGTGCATGTCTGCCTCTGTGAGTGTTTGGGAATATGTGTGTGCAGTGACCACAGAGGGTTTTTTGGTTTTTTTTGTTGTTGTTGTTGCTGTTGTTTTTGTTTGTTTGTTGATGGGGTCTCACCGTGTAGACCTGGCTGTCCTAGAATTCACTGTGTATACCAGACGAGCCTCAAACTCCTTGTGCCCCATCTGCCTCTGCCTCTTGAATACTGGGATTGAAGGCACCTGGTTGTATTTTCTTTTGAGACAGGGTTTCACTCGACTGGCTGGCCTGGACCTAACAGAGACCAGGCTAACCTCGAACTTGCATAGGATCTTCTGCCTCTGCCCTCTGTGTGTTAGGAGGACATGTGACCTACTGGCTACTCTAAAAACCTTAGGATTTAAGAGCCTGCTCTGTGCACATTTGTTAACCAAGATGCCATCCCCGGGCGTCTGTTTATCTGGTCAAGGTTTGTTCCAAAATTGTGTCACTTGTCAGTTCTGTATTGCTTGTGTTTTTGTCAGTGACACCGAGAGATTCTGAGCACTCCAGGAGCTGCAGAAGGACCTATGGTAAGTGCTAACAGTGCCATGGCAGGCGGGGGATAGAGAATGTGTGTATATGATGAGGAGGAATGCGGGTCAGTCTGAAGCTCTGGCCTCCCAAGGCTCAGGCTCCCTTTCTTCTCAGCAGGATGAGGACGGGCGTGTATGTCACATCTACAGGCACCTGGCATTCTGTGAGTGGCCATGCCCATACATAGAAAGTAAAAATAAATCTTACATCTTTTTTTTTTTTTTAAGAGCATGATTAGAACGAGATAGGTAGCTGGGTAGGGGTGGCGCACACCTTTAATCCCAGCACTTGGGAGGCAGAGGGATGTGGGTCTCTGTGAGTTCAAGACCAGCCAGGAATACAGATTGAGTTCTAGGACAGCCAAGGCTATACAGGGAGACCCTGTCCTAAAAAACCCAACCAACCAACCAAACAAAAAGAATGAGAGAGGTAAAGGGGAGGTAAGCAGACAGGCAGTGCTGGACAGGGATGAAGATGCCCGGCCAGGATGTACAAGCGATTGCAACTTTATCAGAGGCCAGTTCAGGATCCACGTCTTAGAACAACCTTCCCCACCTGCTCTAAACAGAGCCCCTTCTGTTCTTTTAGCCCTCGTGGCTCTCCTGTGGTTCCTGATACGGGTGCCATTGGATGCTCGTGGGTGACTGTTATTAACCCATTTGTCATTGGTTGACCTAGGGGCTGGACATTTATGGAGTGCTGGAGGCCTGTCTGCATGTGGAGTGTTGACCAGTATCCCCGATCCCCCATACTAGATGCCTGAAGTGTCTCTTCTTGCCCCATACACGGTGACCTCGTGATCTCTCTAGACATCGCCAGCAATTGTGGGCCACAGGGTGGGTATATGTTTACTTTGCATGGTGGCTAGGGGATCCCCTTGGTTGGGGGGGGGAGGGGGCCGTTGGTCCATGGTGACGTTTCCGAGTGTAAGGACGTGAGTCTCTTCCAGGATCATGGCAGGAAGGGTGAAGTGGGTCACTGACATCGAGAAGTCGGTGCTAATCAACAACTTCGAGAAGAGGGGCTGGATTCAAGTGACAGAAAACGAAGACTGGAATTTTTACTGGTAAGAGCACAGAGCTGCGACGCGTGTCTTCCAAATGTGTAGTCAGTTTGAGCCTGTTGAGGCATCTCCACCTTCTGTGACTCTGTGTAAATAACCTGAGCTCAGGGCTGGAGAGACGGCTCAGCGGTTAAGAGCACTGACTGCTCTGCCAGAGGTCCTGAGTTCAATTCCCAGCACCCACATGGTGGCTCACAACCATCTGTGATGGGATCCGATGCCCTCCTCTGGTGTGTCTGAACACAGCAACAGTGTTCTCATATACATAAAATAAGTCAATCTTTTTAAAGAAAAGAATAACCCAAGCCCAGTGCTTGAAACCAGTTAACTAAGGAGCCTCTGAAGGGTTGGCCAGGCCAGGGACCGGTGACAAGTCAGTCTCTAAGAGCCAGGGTGATGGAAAAAGCTTTTGGCTGGGAGCTTCCTCAGAGGTTGTCACCTACAGCTTCGTCCATCAGGACCAGGTTATTGGACTTGGCCTAAACTTCGAACCACTTCATTTAGGCCTTTTTCTGAAATGTGTTTGCTGGGTCTTCGTTTCCTCTTGGCCAACTGTCTGGCATCTGTTTCTTCCTCCTTGTCTGGCATGGCAAAAGCCCAAGTCCAGTTAGCTGGCTCTCGATGGCTCTGTCCCTCCTTATCTCATGCTTGTGAGCCAGATGTGAGCTCTCTCAGCTACTGCTCCAGCAGCATGCCTGCCTGCCTGCCTGCCTGCTGCACTGCTGTCTACCACGATGGCTGTGAGCCCCCAGTTGAATGCTTTGCTTTATGAATCACCATGATCATGGTGTTTTGTTACAGAGATAGAAAAGTGAGGCACTCAGAAAGCACTTCTTCCTCCCACTGAGCCCTGAGAGGGAGGGCTGGACTGAGCAGTGACTTGAGGTGGGACTGGCAGGTGGAGGGCACCGAGTGCCTGCCTTGTACAGGTCGGGAGTGTGTTTTGGAACTCTTTTTATTTTACCTTTTGGAAGGAAGGCGTTAGGGATCTTACTAGTTTACCCAGCCTTACGTTCAACTTCTAGGCTCATCGAGTTCCACCGTAGCCTCCAGATAGCTGAGACTGTAGGTGTGAACCACTCCACAAGGCTTTAGGGCTCCTTTAAAAGATAGGGTCTCACTATCCAGCTGCTGGAATTAAAGGCATACACCATTTTGACTGGTGTGCATGTGTATATGTGTGTGTGTATGTGTATGTATATATATACATATATTCATATGTATCTGTTCAGGTTTCCATGTGTCTCTGTGAGTGCATGTGGCAGCCAGTGATCAATATGTGGTGTCTTTCTCTATCGCTCTCCACCTTAGTTTTTGAGATAGAGTCTCTCACTGAAACTGGAGCTCACAGATTCAGCCAGACTATCTGAACTACTCTGCACACTGCAGGGACTGCTGCCTTGGTACTAGCTCACAGGTGTGCACTGCCACATCTGTGCCACATCTGGCTTTTATGTGGATGCTGAGGATGGAACCCAGGCCCTCCTAACTTTCACACGAGTGCCCACACACATCCATATGCACAAATATACAAACACACTTAAACATTTTTAAAATAAAATGAATGAAGAAGAACCCTTAATGGCTAGAGAACGTTAGATAGAAATATTCTGGGCAAAGGGAAACCCTGTCTGGGAATTTCTTACAAAGAAGCCCACACTATGGGGAGAGAGTTGGGGTCAAGTCCTATGTTATTATCTATGGAAGCTGAGCCCTGAGGTTCAGCTGTTCTTTGTGGCTGACCTTTCCCATGAGAGGACATTTTGAAAGGCCCTCCATTTTGATCTTCGTGGAGTAGGTACCCTGGACAATTATTTAGGCTCACTCTGTGGGGTGGGGCAGCTTTGAGGAAGACAGAGTCCACAGAGGGAGGCCTGTGGCAGGCTGCCTTGTTTTGCTATTCAGAGGTTTCCCTCATAGGTGCCAGCCACCCTTCTTTCCTTTGTACATCTTCTCTGTCCCTCTGTGAAGTTAGTGAGGACAGTGGCTTCACTATAGGATCAGAAGGCACCCATTTTAGGTGGGATGTGGTGGCAGGAGGCAGAGGCACAGGCACGTGTATCTCTGTCAGTCAGAGGCCAGCCTGATCTACAATGCAAGTCTAGGACAGGCAATGCTATTATATAAACTTTGTCTCAAAATACCAGAAAAAGGGGGGGGTGAGTGAGGTGAGGTGGGAAAGCACCCATTTCTAGGCTGGGCATGGAGCTCAGTGGTAGGACACTTGTCTGGAATGTACAATACCCAAGGTTCAGTCCCCACCAGTACAAAAAAACAAAAAAATAAGAATCAATCAGAGCTGGGCAGACCTAGTGGTGCACACCTTTAATCCCAGCACTTGGGAGGCAGAGGCAGGCAGATCTCTGTGAATTTGAGGCCAGCCTGGTCGACAGAGGGAGTTCTAGGACAGCGAGGGCTACACAGAGAAACCCTGTCTTGAAAAAAAACAAACAAAAAAACAAAAGATGCCAGTTGACTTAGGACCTCGAGTCACCATGTCAGTATTCATGTTCAGATGCTTTTTCTGAATTTGGGTACAAATTAATTTCCTGACATTAGCTTCTGAGAGGGTCTTCCCAACCTTGTCTGTTAGCTGTGCTAACAATCAGCCTGATGGGGTTAGGATGATGGCTCAGCCATTAAGAGCTCTTCCAGAGAACCCGGGCTGGATTCCCAGCACCCACATGGCTGCTCACAACTACCTGAAACTCCAGCTGAAGGGGTCCAGTGCTTTTTCAGACCTCAAGGCACACAACCTGTGCATCCACGAGCCTGTGACGCCAAAGCCTGTCGTCAGCCAGTGAGCAGTGAGTGGGCTTTACCTGGGACCTGATGCAAGTGTCAAGGCACAGGGTCCAAGCCATCCTGTCCTTCAGCTGGCCACAGCCCATCATCCCCGAGTGCACATTCCATGCCACAAGCCGCCGAGTACACCAGGGAGACTGGCAGGGCTGTGAACAGGCATGCGGTCAGACCCGGCTCTGAGCCCCCGTCCCCTCTGTGCCTCTGTTTCAGGATGAGTGTGCAGACCATTCGCAATGTGTTCAGCGTAGAAACCGGGTACCGGCTCTCGGATGACCAGATCGTCAACCATTTTCCCAACCACTACGAGCTCACCCGCAAGGACCTGATGGTGAAGAACATTAAGAGATACAGGAAGGAACTGGAGAAGGAAGGAAGTCCCCTGGCAGAGAAAGACGAGAATGGGAAATACCTCTATCTGGGTTGGTGCCATCCCCTGGTCCTAGGTCCTAAGTCATAGCTGGGTGTCCTGGTGAGCATTTCTATTTCTGCGATAGGAATCATGGCCAAAAGCATCCTAGGGAAGAAACGGTGTGCTTCTGCTTCCAACTCTTGGGTCACACTCCATCACCGTGGGAAGCAAGGACAGGAACTCAAGGCAGGAGCTGAACCAAAGGCCATTGACGAGTACCACTTACTGGGTCACTACTTTCTGCCTCTTGCTCAGCCTGCTTTTTTTTTTCTCCTCGAGAAAGGGTTTCTTTGTATAACCGTGGCTATCCTAGAACTCACTGTATAGACCTGGGTGGCTTCGAACTCACAGAGATCTGCCTGCCTCTGCCTTCCAAGTGCTGAGATGAAAGACACGCACCATCAGGTCAGGCTTCAGCCTGCTTTCTTGGATGATTCAAGACCACCTGCCCAGGAATGGCACCGCCCACAGTGGGCGGGGCCTTCTCATGTCAATCACTAATCAAGAAAAACGCCCTACAGATTTGCCTCCTGGCCAATCTGATAGAGGCATTTTCTTAAGATTTGTTCTTCCCAGACATATCTGGGTCAAGTTGCATATTGAGTTAATCATTTCAGGAGCTCTGAGGGATTGGTGGCTGGCCCTGCCCGGTGAGTGGGTTGGGGTAGGGTCTGTGGCCGACTGCTTTGCCTCGGATGTCTCCAGGTGGGTGGGCAGTGCTTGGTTCACACTCTTGAGTCTCTGTTACTATGGAGTTGTTGAGAGAGAAACTTAGAATGGACAAAGGTGTGCCCAATGCCACCACTCTCTTGAGCCACACTCAGGGATGGTGTGTGTCCCTGGTATGCCTAGGGATCAAAACTGGGCTGCTTGGTGGTTCAGAGTCCCGTACCAGAGCAGAATGAAAAAAGTTGGGTTTTTTTGTTTGTTTGTTTTTTGAGATTTTCTTTTTATTTTATCAGTATGGCCTTTTTGTCAGAATGTATGTCTGTGTACCACCTGTATGCAGTCCCCAGGGAGATCAGAAGAGGGCATTGGTTCACCTGGAACTGGAGTCAGATGGTGGTGAGCTACAGTGTAGGTGCTGGGACTAGAAACTGGGTCCTAAGCAAGAGGAGTCAAGTGTTCTTAATTACTGAGCCATCTTTCCAGGTCCTGGGCAGAATTTGATCACCAACTTCTCTGGCCTCAGTTTCCCCATCTGCTAAGTGGGAATGATAGCTGCCTAGCAGACAGCTTACTCAGGGTTTAGGTGATGTATGTCTGCAGAGTTCTGTGCACACAGCTCAACAGGGTCCCTTCTTAGTACACATAGAAATGGGATAGTAGGAGCCCTGTGGTATAGGTTCAGGGTTGAGGGGACAGTGTGCTGATGAGCCCTGAACCATGGTGATGTTTTCCTGCCCCCATCCCTGGTGGGCAGCCCCTTATGACAATGGGTGTCTTCACTTCAGACTTTGTCCCGGTCACCTACATGCTCCCCGCTGACTACAACCTGTTTGTGGAAGAGTTCCGGAAGAGCCCATCCAGCACCTGGATCATGAAGCCATGCGGCAAAGCCCAGGGAAAGGGTATCTTCCTCATCAACAAGCTCTCACAGATCAAAAAGTGGTCCCGGGACAGCAAGACATCCTCGTGAGTTGAGACCCCCTCCCCACCCCCTACACCCATGCATGTGAGGTTCCAGTTTGCTGCGTCCTGCCGTCCTGTAGCCCTGGTCATGGGCTGAGCAGCCCTTGCCTGCTTTTCCAGCTGTGTCCTTTTTATGTGGCACCGTAGCAGGGCTCTCTGTGACTGAAGACATATAATTAAGCAGATTTCCCCGTGGTAAGCCATGGGGGCACTGCATGCATGTGGTGGCCAGACATACATCCAGACAAAACACCATACACATTAAATAAATCAGTTAATTTAAGGAGAAAGCTAGCCATCACAGCGGCCGGCCAACCGTATCCCTCTTTCCTTGGCAAGCTGCGCCTTTAATCCCGTATCTTTTACAATCTAACTGTGACTTTCTCTGATGTGCATAGGTTCGTGTCCCAGTCCACAAAAGAAGCGTACGTGATCTCACTCTATATCAATAACCCGCTGCTCATCGGTGGGAGGAAGTTTGACCTTCGTCTGTATGTCCTGGTGTCCACCTACCGCCCGCTGCGCTGCTACATGTAAGGGTTTCGCTCTGCTTCCGTGGGGCTCACTTCGTAATGGTGTCATTAGTGACATGGGGGACTCACAGCACCTGGCTCAGGGCAGATATCAGATGGCTGGCTTCTGTTTAAGAGCAGTTGGCCTAGAAGCTACTGGAAATCTTACAAATAAGAGGACTGCTCTTTTGGACATTTGAAGGAAGTGGAGTGTGGTGTGCACACCTGTAATAACAACACTCGAGAGGTAAAAATGAGAAGGTTGAGAGTTCAAGGTTAGCCTGAGCTACATAGAAACCCAAAGCACTGGAAGTTAACATCCAATCTTCTGTTGAGTGGACTGGTGTATTTTCAGTTTTTCTTTTTATTTAAATTTATTTATTTATTTATTTATTTATTTATTTATGTTTTTTTTGAGACAGGGTTTCTCTGTGGCGCTCTGGCTGTCCTGGAACTTGCTCTGTAGACCAAACTGGCCTCACACTCAAAGATCCCCCCTGCCTCTGCCCCACCTCCCACACCCCAGTGCTGGGATTAAAGATGTGTACCCCTGGTGTCCAGCAACTGGTAAATTTTCCTTTGCATCTCCTGTGACTCAGCGTGCGTTCCCTCCCAGGTACAAGCTTGGGTTCTGCCGCTTCTGCACAGTGAAGTACACTCCAAGCACGAGTGAACTCGACAACATGTTCGTCCACCTTACCAACGTAGCCATCCAGAAGCACGGGGTGAGTGTCTCCGCTTTGTGCATCACCAAGTTGCCTGGCTTTGTGGGATTCTCTCTCGTGTATACTTGCAAGAGGGGACCAGGCTAGTTCTCTGGGAGAGCCATTCACGACCCCGTGGCCCAAGGCCTAGAAGAGACTCAGGGTAGCAGAGATGGCTGTCCTAGGTGCATTACCCAAATGCCTACTTAGGGTAGAAGGAATGCTTAGAGAAACAAGAGTCTGGGTTCAAACCCGGCTTTCTGCTTTTGTGGATAAGCCGGCTCAATGCTTTTCTTTTTTAGTAAAAGAAGGAGTCCTTGCTGAGATGGATGACACCCTGATAAACTTGTTCTCTCTGTTATTGTTGTGCTGAAATTGGCCTTAGGGCCTGGTGCATGTTGGGTAAACCCTCTGCCCCTGACCTGTACTCCTAGTTTCCTAGCCTCTTCTTGCTTTCTATTTTGAGACAGTATCTCACTAAGTTACTTGGGCAGACCCTGAACTCACGCTGTAGCCCAGCCAGGCCTTGACTTGTGATGCTCCGTGCCTTGATGTCTGAATAACTAGAGTTACAGAGTGGCACCAACAGGCCCACTTTAAATGCCTCTTTATCATTGTTGCTGTTATTATTATTTTAATGTGTATATGTTTGTCTGTGAGCATAGGTCATGTGTTTATAGGTGCCCACAGAGGCCAGAACAGGGCATCAGATTCACTGGAACTGATGTCACAGATGACTATGAGCCACCCAACATGGGTGCTGGAACCCAAACTTGGGTCCTCTGGAAGAGCAACAAGCGCTCTTAACTGCTGAGACATTTTTCCAGCCCCAAACCTATCTTAAATTGAAATTGAAAATACTGTAGGACGAAAATGTATTCAATTCACCTAACCCATCGAACATCATCGTGTTAGTGTGTGTGTGAGTTTGTGTGTGTATGTTGCCCCATAAAGCATTTTTGAATGGCAAAGCACTCCTTTTTTTGAAACCACAGTCTGACCCTTGTGTGAAAGTTTTACACTGTTCCACAGTAGAACCAGGAAAGGAACAGATACTACTCTGAGCGCTGTAAAGCTGCCCCTTCTCCTGGTGAGAGGAATCAATGTGGCCAGGGACTGGCTGTCACAGAAGCTCAGGAGCCTCTGTGCTGTGTTGGGGGAGCTCCTGTGTTCTCCCAGTGGGGTGGATCCTAGGTGCTGCAGGCCTAGTGGGACAGGCCTAGCATGCAGAGAAGCAAGAGCCAGCCTGAAGCCTGCAACTCTCGCAGACTGGTGGGATGAAATGTTTTGAGATGACTGGAAACCACGAGACGTGCTTGCCGTGCAAGGTGGCGTCTGGCCGGAAGTACTTTAACCCCTCAAAATCCTTTCTCTTTCCTGTCAGTTGTCTTTAAAATTATACATTACAGATTGACACATTTTAATATTTTGGTTGTTATTGTTAGATTTCGTTCATTTGTTTGTTTTTCTTGAGGGGGGTTGTTTATTTTGTTTTTCTTGATTTTTAGATAAAGTCTTGCCTTGGTTGTCATGCAACTTGCTGTGTAGACCAGGCTGGCCTGGAACTCATAGAGTTCTGCCTGCCTCTGCCTCCAGAGTGCTGGGATTAAAGGAGTTACTACAATGCCTGGCCTTCTTTGTTTTATACTTTTTTTTTTTTTTTTTGAGATGGAAGCTTGCTAAGTAGACCAGGCTGTCCTCCTGGCTCAAATATTAGCATACACATTTGTCTTAGTCAGGGTTACCACTCCTGTGATGAACCACCAGCACCAAAAGCATTTGCCTAGAGCGACTTCTGGGTAGAGGGGAAGTAAGGGTCCAGGTGGCACTTTACAGTGTGGGCTACTGAGTGTACATGGCTGCTTATGAGACCAGGGGGAAGTTGAACATGTGACACTGTGTGTAGTAGACGGCACAGAGGCCTCTGGGCAGGGATCCCCTGCTGCAGAATACCTACCTGTGCATACCCAGGGGGCACTTGAGGGCCAGTGGCTGGGTTCCTCCAGGCCGTGTCCTGAAGGCCATGTGCCCTCCCTCACCAGGAAGACTACAACCACATCCATGGTGGCAAGTGGACTGTCAACAACCTGCGTCTCTACCTGGAGAGCACCCGAGGTCGAGAGGTGACCAGCAAGCTGTTTGATGAAATCCACTGGATCATTGTGCAGTCTCTCAAGGCCGTGGCGGTGAGTGACCGTGGGTGGAGGCGGGGGGGGGGCGGGCCCCGGGGAGGGGGCCCTGGAAGCCCAGTGGGAGGTCCTGGGCTAGCCAGCAGTTCTCAGAAAGTGTTCCACAGTTCGGAGTGCTCCTACTCTCTCACCTCTGCCCATGCATCAGCCAGGGGCTGAGATAGTTTTAGGAAGGGATGGGGCGGGTTTCTGGGGCTACACTGTCCAGGTGGGCGTGGTCAGCCTCCGATAGGGCCGCAGACCTTGATGCCATTAACGTCAACTCCCTCGTTCTTGTTCAGTCTCCATACGATCCGACCCGTCCCGACTTCGCTTTCCCCTTCCACAACTCCTCCAAGCACCTGCCCCATCTCCCCTCTCCCCCAGATCCACCGCTCCTCTGTTTCCCTTCAGAAAAGAGCAGGCCTCCCAGGGATATCAACTGAACAGGGCATAACAAGATGCAGTAAGGTTAAGCACAAACCCTCATATCAGGGCTAGATGAGGCAACCCAGGAGGAGAAGAGTCCCAAGAGCATGTGAGCGTCAGAGATAACCCCACTCCCACTGTTAGGTGTCCTACAAAAACACCAAGGTAACAGCCATGCTGCATTTGCAGAGGATCTAGTGGAGACCCGTGCGGGTGTCTCTGTGAGCCCCTGTAAGCCCTGCTTAGTTAATTTTGTGGGGACATCATCTCTTTTTCGTTCCTTTCTTCCTGTTTTTGAGACATGGTCTCACTGGGTAGCCACAGTTGGCCTGCAGCTTGTTATATTAAACCAGGCTGACCAGGAGTGCTCTATGTAGACCAGGATGGCCTGGAGCTCACAGAAACCTGTCTGCCTCTGCCTCTCCACCATCAGTCCTCCTTAGTGGGTATGAGTGTCAGCCAACCCCAGTCGGGGAGGGGAGTCCCAGCAGCGTTCATTTCAGGCAGCTTAATATTGCTGTGTCATGGCTATTTAAGGTTAAAATAGCCTCCTTCTTTATTCCTAACCTGGTCTTTGATTTGCTCACTGGGTTGCAGTTTCTAGGCAGGTGCACCGCAAATTTTGAGCAATAGGTCAAAAATTCCTATACACATTGCTGGGCTAGCCATTCCCTGTTTTTAGGACCCTGCGGATGGTGTCTCTGGGGTGTCTTTGTTTCCCCATATAACTCACAAGAGAATGGGAGCTCTTGATCCCAGAGTTAAGAACAGAGGAAAAGGTCCCTGACCCAAACCCAGTCTCCTTGCCTCCCATCCCCTCTGCCATCAGGAAGAGGAAGGCAACCAGTCCCCTGCTGAGCTGAGGTCACTTGCAGGACCCAGAGTCCCTCAGTTCTCCCTCTGAGTGTAGAGGGATTTTAATCTAGCAATATGACTGCTCTGGCCAGGGATCACATCCAAAAACCTAGGTCTGTGTGATCCAGCTGGAATGCAGACAAGCCTTTAGCACACACCTTTAAGGTAAAATTAGTTTGTAAAAGGAAGCAGCTGTGTTTGAAAGTGACGTCTAATTGAGGGGCAGACAAAATGACGAATCAGAGAAATATTTGACAGAATGAGTCAGGGATAGGATACACCTGCTGCATCTAGGTTTTTTTGTTTTTTTCGAGACAGGGTTTCTCTGTATAGCCCTAGCTGTCCTGGAACTCACTCTGTAGATCAGGCTGGCCTCGAACTCAGAAATCCACCTGCCTCTGCCTCCCAAGTGCTGGGATTAGAGGTGTGCGCCACCACCTCCCGGCTTGCATCTAATTTAAAAAAAAAAAAAAAAAACCCCGCTACTGCTTTGCTGGGGAGCTGCTGCACTACCAGCCCCTCCCAGCTCCCTTTTGTTCCACCCAGTTTAGCTACAGGGATAGGTCACAACCAGCCCTAACCCAGCTTCCTTTTCTACTTGTTTTGCTCTGGGAGGGGGGTAGCATTACGCTACCAGCTCACTCCCAAGACCCATGAATCCTCGGATAAAAGATGCACAGACAGCTTTATAACTTTAGAACTTGCCCGCTAGGCACAGTTGCTGGGGACAGATAACTCCCTCCTGGAAAGGTGTGCCCTTACCAATTAATTATCTCCATTTCTCCTCCTGCAGTAATCTTGGTGGCTTGTTCCATCTAGTCTCTGCCAAACATGTTTGGCAACCCACCCCGTAGTGGAGGCCACAGGCCCTAGCTCTCCCCGAGGACTTACATGATTGCAGCATCCTTCCTCCTCCAAAGCATGGCAGAAACGCCTCCTCTCTCCTTCCTTCCTCTTCCTCTTGGGACCCGGAAAGTCCCACCTGTACCTTCCACCCAGGAATTGGCTCCCAGCTTACTTTATTGACAAATCAAGAACCAATTAGGGAACTAGATCTTAGTATCAGAACCTCTCCTTACGTACACCCAACTCTCACCCAGGAAAGAGAACCTATCTGAGAGACGTTCAGGGAGTGCAGCCAGGCTGAGTTTGTTCCATAGTGATTCAGTTCAGGTGAGTGCAATTGAGCTCAGTTCAGAGCAGTTCAGTTCCTGGAGTTCAGAGGCCATCATTCCAAACAAAGCAATTCAGTCAGAAGCGGAGAGAAGTCAATCTGAATCAGCCTGGGAGAGGAGTTTGAGCCAGAACAGCTGAGTTGAACCAGCCAGCCAGAGTTCAGAAAGAGCTAGAAAGAGTGAGTTTATTCAGCAGCAAACCTCTGAGATGACAATTACATCTGGTAAACAAAAGACACATTTACATCTGAGGGCCTGGCTACTGAGATGGCCCTTGACAGACCCACCCACTTATGTGGGACCTGAGGACACAAGGCCTGGGGACTCCGGATGGTGCCAGGTCACCGTGGAGAATGTAAGAGATGCAAAATTCCCAGGTCACACCCATCTTCCTCCTTGAGAAGAGCCACCTTGTGCACAGTTGCCTCACAAAAGGTCCTTTTCTCCTGGCCCTCAGCTCTGGGTGAGCCCTCTGCAGTCTGGCATCCACTCATTGACTCTCTGGGTGGTGATTCCAAGCTTTTGAAGAAGACAGGGATTTTTTTGTATGGTTTTAATTAAGTGTAGGTGTATGTGTCTGTCTGTGGGCATGCCCATGAGTACAGGTGCCCACTGAGGCTGGAAGCATTGGAACCCTGAAGCTGGAGGTTACAGGCGGTTGTGAGCTGTCCAACAGGGGTCCTCTGGATGAGCAGGAAGTGCTCTTAACAGCTAAGCCATCCATCCCTCCAACACCCAACATCAGTTACTTGTTCAACACACAGAGAAGGGTTATTGAAGGTATATTTAGGTGAATTGGAAATTACAAGGGAAATCCAGAAATGGAAAGGAAACAGGCTACTCTTCTCATTAGTTTATGATCTGGTTTGAACCTGCTTAAACAGGGCTGGGAAGCATAACAGACAGCCTGCTGGTGTGCCTCTGTGCCTGTGTGTGTGTGTGTGTGTGTGTGTGTGTGTGTGTGAGAGAGAGAGAGAGAGAGAGAGAGACAGAGACAGAGACAGAGAGACAGAGAGAGAGAGATACAGGAAGCCAGCAGTGTGGGAGGGAAGGTCCCTCTGGGCTCTGAGGGTGTGGTTTCTAACCTGTGGGTCACTCTGCAGCCAGTGATGAACAACGACAAGCACTGCTTTGAATGCTACGGCTATGACATCATCATCGACGACAAGCTGAAGCCCTGGCTGATCGAGGTAACTCACAACCCTGACACATTGGCCAGCAGTGCCACAGGGGAAGAGAGCATTCTCACTACTCTCCAGCATGCGCCAAGGCATAATTTGGAAGTGGGTCCGTCTGCCCTTTGAAGCAGAGAGGGTGTAATGGTGGCCGATCTAGAAATGATAAGACACACACCGTACAGCAGGTTTTCCTGGCCACAGCCATGGCGTTATTCCTCGGCAATGTGATCAAATACCTGACCCCCTCCCCCAAAAAAGACAAAACAAAACCAAAAAAGAAAACAAAAAACCAGCTTGAGGGAGGAAGGCTTTATTTGGTTCGAGACGACAATGCTTCATGGTGGGAAAGGCCTGTCGTGTGTGTGTGTGTGTGTGTGTGTGTGTGTGTGTGTGTGTGTGTGCGTGTGTGTGTGTGTCAGCTGCACACATCTGTTATGGCTGCAGCAGAGCGAGGCGGATACTGATACCCCACTAGCTGCTTTCTTCCTTCAGCTCAGTGTCCTAGCCCATGGGATGATGTCACCCACATGCGGGGTGGGTGGGTCTTCTCTCCTAAGTTAACTTCTCTGGAAACACCTCAAAGTTACCCTGAGGTACAGCTAGACTTTCTTGGATCCCACTAGCAGTTTAAATAATGACACAACTCCTAATGTAGTTTAAAGCTTAGGCCTTTTGCCGGGCCCATCTCCCAGCTATCGTTTAAACTTAACTGACTGTTTTCATCTGTAACCGGCCACCTGGCTAGTTCTTCACCTCCCTGCCCTGCTCCAGTTGTCTCTGTTCCCTCCCCCCACCCCCAGCTCTCTATTCTCCCCCTTCAGCTTGCCTCCCCTGCGGCACTCTCTGCCTGGAAGTTCCACCCACTTACTTCCTGCCTCAGCTATTCACCCTCTTACTTCCTGCCTCAGCTATTGGCCATCAGATCTTTACTACAACCAATCAGCAGCAAGACAACGTGGGATCCATCACTAGGTTGCCTTGAGGCAGGTGAGGAAGGGCAAACATTTACAAAGTAGAAAGCCTGATGATAGGCCGTAGAAATGACAGTACCAGAATCCCACCAGTCCTCAGATCTTTGTGCTACTGAATCAATACAGAGCCACACCTTCACACAGATTGAGAAAGGTCACCCCAACACTGAGGAGGCTCCTAGGTCTCTGCAAATCCCATTAGGTTGATGGAAATTAACTGTCATGGCCTTTTTAGAGAGGTGGGCATTGGTACCCTTGTTTGAGGCCGTGGACAAGGAACCTCTGGCCCCTCAACAAGCCGAGGATGAGAGATGGCCTGAGCATGCAAGAACTTCCGTGGTGTTGTTCCATGCTGTGTTGGAGGCATCCAGGTCAGGCCCTTCCTTCAGTCACACAAGCCAGGAAGCCTAGGATTCTTGTAAGAGCACAGAGTAGAACATGGGCTCCTGCAGGGGAGGTCAGAGAGAGCCTCAGTGTGGGGTCCATGGTAATCGGCTTATCAAGGGGGGGGTAGAACTGAGGGAGATGTAATATTTCCCTCCTAACACCCTCCCTCTCTTCCTTTTTTTCTTTTGAGAACTGGTCTTGAACTCATGATCCTCCTCCTGCATCAGCCTCCCAGGGCACCAGGGTTAGAGGTGGTGGCTTCCTACATCTTAAACACAGTAATGTTAATGGAAGCTACACTTTCCCTGATGAACTAAGATCCTAATTGTATCTATTATCTCTCCCTCTCCTTCTCCTTCTCCCTCTCCCTCCCCCTCCCTCTCCTTCTCCCTTTCCCTCTCCCTCCCCTCCCCCTCTCCTTCTCCCTCTCCCTCTCCCTTTCCCTCTCCTTCCCCCCTCCACACACATACAGATTTGATTTATTTGTAATTGTGTGTGTGTGTGTGTGTGAGTGTTTGTGGGGGGTGATGTGCACATGAGTGCAGTGCCTGCAGAGGCCAGAAGAGGGCATCAGATCTCTCGGGAGCTGGAGTCAGTAGGCAATTGTGATTCTGTCTCTAGATATTATTTACAGTTCACCTAAGAACCAATAGAAACAGACCACACAACACTTCTGTCCTACTGTACTTCTCTGTTGTTGTGATAAAACATTGATCAAAAGCAACTTGGGAGGAGGTTGGAGAGATGGCTCAGTGGTTAAAAGCGCTGGCTGCTCTTCCAAAGGACCTGGGTTCAATTCCCAGCACCCACATGGTGGCTCACAACCATCTGTAGCGGGATCCGATGCCCGCTTCTTTCGTGCAGGCACACATGCAATCTTTAAAAAAAATACCCATATATAAAACATAAATAAAACTTTATAAAAACAAAAGCACACAACTTTGGGGAGGAAAGGATTTGCTTGGCTTTCAGGTCCGTCATCCAGAGACGCCAAGGCAGGAACTGGAGCAGAGACCATGGAGAAATCCTGCTGGTTGGCTTGCTCAGCTATCTTTCTTATACAGCCCAGACCCACCTCCCAGGGATTACACCACCCACCATGTGCTGGGCTCTTCTATATAAATAAGCAATGAAGAAAAGACTTCTTGGGCCCAACAAGATGGCTCAGTGGATATTAAGGCACTTGCTGCCAAGCCTGACAGCCCGAGTTTGATTTCCAGGACCCACATGGTGGAAGTGGAGCACGAATTCCCACAGGTTTTCCACTGACCTCCACGTGTGCACTATAACACGTTGTGTGCCCACACGAATACACACATATCACACACAAAAATAAATAAATGTATAGGGGGCTGGAAAGGTGGCTCAGTGGTTAAGAGCACTGACTGCTCTTCCAGAGGTCCTGAGTTTAATTCCCAGCACCCACATGGTGGCTCACAACCATCTGTAATGGGATCTGATGCCCTCTTCTGGTGTGTCTGAAGACAGTGACAATGTACTAATATACATAAATAAATATTAATAATAAATAAATAAATATTTATAATTTAAAAATAAATGTTTAATAAACTAATAAATAAATGTATAAAGAAAAGAATATGCCTCACAGACATGCCCACAGGCCAGTCTGACCTAAGCGGTTCTCAGGCAGCTCTAGGGTTTCATCCCGTTGACAACTACCAGTGACAGCTTCATACACAAGGTGCCTGGCAGGTGTGAGATGATGACACCTTGTTAACTGATGACAAGCGCCTGGAGCATGTGACCCACGCTGGCTCAGCTCCGGTGTCTCTCACTCCACAGGAGGAAGCGCCACAGCAAAGGACATATGTTTTTCTTCTTGTAGGTTAATGCGTCCCCATCTCTTACCTCCAGCACTGCCAACGATCGAATCCTTAAGTACAACCTGATTAACGACACCCTCAACATTGCGGTCCCCAACGGCGAGATTCCAGACTGCAAATGGAACAAGTCTCCCCCCAAGGAAGTGCTTGGCAACTATGAGATCCTGTAAGTCTGCGAGTGGCTCCCCAGAGGTCCTGCGTTCTAGACTGAGGTGCCCTTCGGATGTCAGCGAGCTGGGGCTCACTTTCCTTAGGCCGTGTGTCAGTCTGTTGATGTTGGGAGGGATAGCTGTCGAGGAGACAGAAGAGTGGTTTGAGTCTGTTCCACATAGTCAGTACTTACTTGCCAAGTGCTGGACAGGGAGTGACTCTCACTGCTTGTCACCTATGCAAGCTGCTGAGGTGCCAGGAGCAGGCTGCACACAGTGTGGGGCTCATACCCTAAATCTACCTCTGTAGCTCTGTGGGCCACAGTACAGTCTGAACACCTCAGGAAGCCGGTAAGGAAAGAGTGATTCCCAGGGCTCACCTCTCAGGGCTTCCTGTGCTAAGATCTGTGGCTGTGCTGTAGACACTCTGGCCCATTTCCTTACCCTGTACCTCATGAGCTGAGTACTAGGTTGGCTCTGTCTTATAGACGGGAAACAAATGGACCTGTTGTGAGCGCAAGCACATGCGTGGGGCAGGGGTGTAAATAAAGTAACGGTGATCAGGAAGACAATGGTTGACAGAAGTATAGTCATTCATACCTTGTGAAGTGAGGTGGCCAATTAAAAGATTGGCCTAAGAAGCAGGTGAATCTCTGTGAGTTGGAGGCCTCCCTGGTCTACAGAGCTTGTTCCAGGACAGCCCAGAGCTATACAGAGAAACCCTGTCTCCTGTCTCAGAGCCCCTCCCCCCCCCAAAAAAAAAATCCTCAAAGATTGGCCTAGTGCTGTGTATACTATGGGCCAGGAGGTTGGGTGAGAAAAACAAGTTGCAAGAAAGGGTACTTTTATCCGATCCCTAAGACAGACCACGACCTCCACTGCCCCTGTGTGCACATAAGCATCTTTTGTTTGTTTGGGTTTGGTTTTTGAGACAAAGTCTTATTATGTAGATCACGCTGGCCCTTGAACTCCCAGAAATCCACCTGCCTCTGCCTTTCCAGTGCAGGGATTAAAGGTGTGCACCATTGTCTCTTGGTCTTACATATAAGCATTTAATTTAAAAAGTTTAAAGACGAGGAGACGTTTATTGAAGTGCACCACCAGTGGGGCCTGCACTCTGGAGCCCCTCCCACCTCTCTGTGTACACTTCCAGGAGCTGCGGTGGAGGGGCTGGAGGGGCGCAGGGAAGGCTCAGAAGTGACATCGTGGGCAGAGCTCCTGGAGAGCTCAGGGCCTTAGAGGGTGGTAGCTGTGAGCCCACAAAGTAACCAGTCAGTGACTGACTATGCTCTGGAGGTTGGCAGCCTGGGGTGGGGATGACAACGGAATCGGAAGGGAGTAGAGGTGGGAGCTGGCAAGGAAGGCAAGAGAAGAAGTGGGCGCCAGTCCTGGGAAGGCAGGTGTACTCTGATGGGGGATCCAGGGCAGGTGGACTCACTGAGATGCCTGAGAATAAAGCCTAGTGCAAGACACTGTGCAGGGTGTGGGCACTGACCAGAGCCAGATTGGGCCTTGGTATTATATGGGCACTAACATGGATGAATGTCAAGGTCATCAGAGGTCAGAAGAGTGGCCAGGGCCCGGGAATCAAGGGCTAGACCCTGGAAGACTAGGGTTGATATACAAGCAGGGGTCAGAGAGGCCTCTGCTGACTTGGCTTACAGGGGCAGAGAGGGTCTAGAAAGGCCTTTCCAGACCCGTGGATCTGAGAGAGGAAACGGTCCACATGCCACGGGGCTCCAGGGAGAGCCAGGTTTCTCATACGCGGGAGGTGAAGGAGAAAGCCAAGGGCTAGGAAAGCACACAGGGGTCTCTGGGGATGAGCGGGGAGTTCCAGACTGCACAGTGGACAGCTGTGTCCTGTCCAGAGCCGCTCGGGTTGACAGTGTGGGATATAAGGGCAATACAAGAGGTGGCTCCTGTCAGTGCCATGGAAGCCGTGGGGTCAGTTCTGAGGCTGTGGAGGAAGGCCCACGTGAGATTCAAGAACCACGAGAGTCTTCGTGGGTCCCTCTTTAGTCCAGCAGGATATAGCAAGGAGGCTGGCCCACTGGGAGCTTATGAGGCCCTGTTCGCAGAACAGGCAGAATGCTCATCTCCAGGTTAAGAAGCAGAGGCCAGAGGCTCACCTCTAGCTCCGAGCTGCCTCTCACACCCTTCTAGGCAAGAGAGGCTTTGGTTTGGAGCTGGCCCTTGGAAGCTCTTTCCTATGTGTCTCCTTGCCTCTCATGCTCCAGGTTGGGTCCCAGCAGCAGCAATTCCCATGTGTGGGGCTTACCTCCGTAGTGTGCAGTCCTGTGGCTGTACACAGCCAGGAATACTGCATCTCGTCCATACTTAGAGCATCCTTCAGAGTACGCCAGTATGGAGAGAAAGGAACTGACAAGAATACCACTCTTGTGCCCAGGGTCACACACTGCCTCACATTGTCCTTGAGGCCTTGGTGTCGAGATCACTAGCCTCGTTCATCCTGGCTCTACTCTAACATTACCAGAAAACACTCTTGACGTTTTTGAAAACAAAACAAAACAAAAAGCTGTTCAGAACTCGGTGCCTAGATCCCACCTGTCAGACCCCAGAAGGGAAGCTGTTCCAACCAGAAAGGCCCTCGGGGGCCCTTTCAGCTGTTTACAATAGCTCCTTAACAAGCAAGCCACTCCCCAAGAATTGAACAGCCCATTGCCAGCTGTCTGCTACATACTCCACTTTGTTTTCAAGCTGAACAGTGTCTCACAGGTGTGTGTGTGTGTGTGTGTGTGTGTGTGTGTGTGTGTTCCTCTTTCCCGTTCATCCAGATCCTGCCCCTCCCCACCTTGAGCCAGTACCAGGGCAACCCTGAGACTGACAGGCAGGGTGACTCCACCCTCAGTCTGTGCTGCAGACACAGTACAAGTCAGAGTGCGACAGCATATGGATGGCCCATGGAGCCAAAGTTGCCCCCTAGCAGAACCTTTGGTCCTTGAGGGAGCTCTCTGCACAGCTTTCTTGTATTGGAGGGACGAGCTACAAACACATCTCCATGGTGAGGCTAATGCTGAGGCATGTCTGTGTGGTGACACAGTTGTGACAGTCCATGCCAGTGCTGAGCATGTTCTCAGCCAAGAGGAGAGCTGCCAACACTTTAACCCTGCCACTCCCTGTGCATCAGTCCGCAGGCACCATTCAGAGAATGTTCACCCACCAGAGGTGGCCCTAATGCAGATCCCACACTACCCACAGAGTCTGGCTCTGGACCAGAAGCTCTGAAGAGAGGGACATTCAGCTTCTGAGGCAGAGCAAAGCATCCTGGTACCTGTTTGCTTGATGCAAATGTCTGCATATAACTCAGGCAAAATAGCAGCAAACAAACACCTAAGAAGCCCGGGCTGTCCTGGAACTTGTTCTGTAGACCAGGCTGGCCTCTAACTTAGAGATCCGCCTGCCTCTGCCTCCCAAGTGCGGGATTAAAGGTGTGTGCCACCATGCCTGGCTAGAAAACACTTTAAGATGACCAGAAAGAAACCAGACATAATAGTGAATACCTTTAATCTCAGCATTTTGGAGGTAGAAGCAGGCAGATCTCTGTGAGTTCAAGGCCAGCCTAGTCTACCCAGCAAGTTTCATGACAGGCAGGGCTGTCAGAAGAAGGGCTGGCAAGATGGCTCAGGAGGTAAGGCACTTGCTGCCGACTTTGACAACCTAAGTTTAATATCTGGGACGTACATGATAGATGAAAAGATCTGACTTCCACAGCCTGCCTTCTGACCTCTATACCTTGGCACATGTGTGCCCTCAATCAATCAATTGATCAATGTAATAAAAAAAATTAAAGGCCAGTGCTGGGGGGCCAGCTCCAACAGGGTCAGGTACTGAGGTGGGACACAGCATCAGACAATGGCCAAAGATTGATGACCTCTTCCTTTAACTCTCTCTTACTGTTCTGGGAACCAGAAACTGATGGCTTCTAGTATTTCACAGAGAAAGGAAAAAGAAGGAAGGAAGTCAGGCACTGCCCTCTTACACATGTATATACCCCCCTCACATACACAAACACATACACACACACATGCACACACACACACACACAGACTGGTCCCAACCACCTGTTTCACCAATTTCACAAGTGCACATGCATTCTTACATCCATACACATATACCTACACATGTATATGTGTACATACATGTAGACAGACAGACACCTATGCATCTGGTGGATGGAGCAGAGCCCCAACAGCCACACTTTATTTTTTTCTCTCAGCCTTTTTATATCTTCTTAGACAAAAGTTCTTATGAAATTACTCCACAGATAAAATGTGACCCAGAAGGGGAGTTACAGAAGGACGTCAATAGCAAGTTAAAAGCAATGCTTCGTTCTGTAAGCACATTATGAGTTCAAAGCAAAGTTTCACATGGCCTGGCTTTATCATAGTACATAGTTGTGGCATCACCCCGACCTAGAACGAATGTTTTTCCTTGATTATAAATCTGCTCCAGGCCTATTTCTCTTCTTAGTGCAATTTATAAAGCTCATTGTATTCCATAGTATGCAGCCTTTACTTACTATCCTAAGAAAAGGGGGCACATTTCTACTTTAATCTTCCTGGCAAAGCAACTGAAACCACCTCCTAAAACTTTCTTCCTGACATTAATCATGAATCCTATAAAGTCATTAATTCATCTCAACAGCATTAACTCATAAAAGTCTATTTTCATGTTGATCTGAAATTTGCCCAGGAGGGTGGGTTGTCACCCAGGAAGTAATCACACCAGGCTCTAGGAGGTCTCCCGGGGACCACTCACACCAAGCCACATAAACTGGGACGATGGCAATGACAAACATGAGAAAGCACATCGGTAGCAAGAAGCAATCCTGGGACGAAGTCTCTGGGGCCGTGCCTCACCCGAGCACACGCATGGCAGCCAAGCAGGATGGTGGGCCGTCTCCAGGGAGCTCACTTGCCCACTGCAGCTCTTCCTGCATGGCATCTGCCAGGCCAACATGATGGCTCAGCAAGTAAAGGTGACTGCCCCCAAGCCCAATGGCCTAAAAGTTCTATTCCCAGAACCCACATGGTAGAAGGAGAAAGCTGACCCCTGCAAGTTGTTCTTTGACCTCCATATAATGAATGAACCTCTCCCCAGTAAAGTAATAAACTGAGGTTCAAATTTAAGTGTCCAGAAAGGAACTTCTCACAGCTTGGCCGCAGGGTGAAGCCTTGGATCAGGAATCAGGAGGCCCAGTGTTAACCCTGTCTCTGCATACCCAAACCTGGAGCCAGAGAGTGGTAGGAAGCCATGGTGAGGAGAGCCAGATCCCTTTGCAGGCTCTATTCTGGGTAGCAAAAGCTGAAGGACACCAGGACTGTATCTGGTTCTTCAGACGTGAGGTCCAAGTTATTCCTCGGCAACGCGTAAGGCTGAGTACAGGCGTAAGCTGGAAACAGGCCTGAGGAGGACAATGGCAGAGCAAGTGGCATCCATCGTGGGTGATGGAGGAGTCCCTGCTCCACCCAGGCCCCTTCCTGCAGTCCGCTAATACCCGGTTCCCTGTCTGAAACGGTATTAGGCCCTACCCCTCAGGGTATGTGAAATATTTGCAGGCAAGAAATGTCTCCCTGACCAACCTGGGCAGTCTGACTAGTTTGTCATTCACTGCTCCCCTGAGGCCGGTGCCAAATTCTGCCCGGAGCCTGTTAAAATGGCATCTGTCTAGGATGGATGGACTGTCTACAGTGGCAGTTTAGCTGGGTTTCTCTCACAGGCTCTGTGGCCTTGTGTGACATATAGGCTGGAGAGAGATATGGGTGCCAGGATCTGGAGCTAGGTGACTCTTTCTAGTAACATGTTTGTTCTGCAGCAGCCCAGTGGCCACTGTGTTGCTGCTGCCCCTGAACAAGACCTCCTAGTGATTCTCCCGTGATCTATTTCAGGTATGACGAGGAGCTGGCCCAGGGTGATGGAGCTGAACGAGAGCTTAGAAACCGCCCAGGCCAGCCAGTGGGGCCCAGAGCAGGCCGCTCAAGAGACTCAGGAAGAAATGTCCTCACGACCTGGAAGTGAGCAGCAGTGACAAGAAGGACCCCAGCTTGGACCTTCCCACAGTTGCTCCACCCAGATCCTGCTAAACACATGTTTTGGACTTTCCTTTTTCTAGAGTGCTTTCCTGAGCAAACCTTGTAAATAAAGACTCAATGCAAGGTGGAAGAGTCCATGTCACCAGGGCTACGCACTCACGCGTGTGTGTGCACAGACACACTCGCACAAGCTCATGAAAAGGACAGCTTCAGTGTGTGATGGAACTTCCTTTTGTAAAGATTTATTTTATTATTTTTTGAGATAGGTAGCCCTGACTAGCTTGGATCTTGCCATGTAGACCAGGCTGGCCTAGAACTCACAGAGATCTACCTGCCTCTGCCTCCCAAGTGCTGGGATTAAAGGCATGTGCCACCACATCTAACTTTATCTTACTATTTATTTGTGTGTGTGTGTGTGTGTGTGTGTCTGTGTCTGTGTCTGTGTCTGTGTCCATGTGTGTGACCCAAGGAAATCAGGAGGGGGCAGCAGATTCCCCAGCTTGGGAGTTACAGGCTATTCAAAGTGGGGTTTGAGAACCAAAGCCACTGTCTGCAAGAGCAATCAATAAGTGCTTAAAATGTGATCCATCTCTCCAGCCCACCGATGAATCTGCTGCTGCAACTGCTATTTCTTCTCCTTCTCCTCCTCCTCCTCCTCCTCTTCTTCTTCTTCTTTTTTTTTTGTTTTTCGAGACAGGGTTTCTCTGTGTAGCCCTGGCTGTTCTGGAGCTCACTCTGTAGACCAGGCTGGCCTCGAACTCAGAAATCTGCCTGCCTCTGCCTCCCAAGTGCTGGGATTAAAGGCGTGCGCCACCATTGCCTGGCTCCTGCTCCTGCTCCTCCTCCTGTTCCTCCTGCTCCTCCTCCTGCTCCTCCTCCTCTTCTTCCTCCTCCTCCTTCTTCTTCTATTTCTCTGTTTATGTCTGTCGGTCTTTCTGTCTGTCTGTCTATCTATCTATCTATCTATCTATCTATCTATCTATTTATCTATCTATCTATCTATCTATCTATCTATCTATCTATCTATCTATCTATTTTGGTTTTTCAACACAGGGTTTCTCTCTGTAGTCCTGGATATCCTGGAACTCATTCTTAGACCAGGCTGGCCTTGAACTCAGAGATCTGCCTGCCTCTGCCTCCTGAATGCTGGGATGAAAGGTGTGCGCCGCCACTGCCTGGCCATAATGCAGCTTCTTAAAAGGTATTCATACTCATTAAACTTTGCACTTAAAAAAGGGTTAAACAAATACGATGTGTCTCAAAAAGATTAAATGTCACATGTTTTCTGGAGCCACTTTGTTTAGTTCCCTGTGGCCTTGTCGGAGCAGACAGGCATTTATCTTTACAAGGTCCATGCTGCTGTGCTCTTGGGGGACCAGTTTCTGTCACTTTGGTTTGGTGATAAGGCTGGTAGAGTGAAGCAGATGAGCAGAGAGATCCCGAGGGGAGGTTGCTGTGACTCAGGCATCTGGCTTTGTAGACACTGCTAGCAGCCTGCAGCAGTTCACAAGGAGCTCCCTGGACACCAGGGACTCAGAAGAGTATGTGGGGACCAGCTGTCACCTCCATAAGCTCTGCTTGCAAATGGGGAAGTGTTTGATTTGTTTTTTTGAATCTTTCAAGATAGAGTTTCTCTGTGTAACCATAGTGTCCTGGAACTTGCTGTATAGACCAGGCTGACCCCTGCTGAGATTAAAGGTGTGCACCACCACCACCCAGCACAAGTGGGATTCTTAATGGTAGCCTCTCTCTGACAGTCATATCTGACACCTGTCACCTGGCATGCTAGTCACCACCTGGAATTTATCTTGAAAGACCCCTGTGTTCAGCTGTGCAAGACAAGAGTAGATGTCATCTCATGAATGTCTGTGTCTCCATACACACATAAGCATGCTTTTAACATGTCAGTGCTAATAAAGGAAAGGTCCTCTGTGCTGTGTGCTTGTTGCCATGTCAGAGGAGAGGCACAGTCATGCAGCGGGTTCAGCCAGAATCTGCAAAGGCTGCAGTTGGGACAGGCAGTTTCCCTGTGTGACTTTCTGGTTAGGCAAGATGCTGTGCACTGTGTGCCACTTAGGTTCTGTGTGTTGGTGACTGGACACAGACCTGGGCTTAGAGCCTGACTCTGCTTATTAGCTGTGATCTGGGTGGTCCTCTTGGCTCTTGGGACTTTGGTCTCTTACAGTATAAAATGAGAGATCCCAGCGTGGTGGTGACTATTGGGTCCCAAAGAAACTCAGGACAAATGGCTAACTGTTGTTCCTGGTAGCACACCAAAGCACACACAATGGGTGATCAGGCTCACTCAGTACCAATGGCTCTTCTCAGCTCTTCTCAGCCCACCCCTACCTTAAACCTCTCCAACCCAGGGACTTCGCTCCCCCCTCACTCCCTCCCAGCTTCTCTTTCCCATGTCACCCTGCCACTTCAGCTGAACTCTCTCCTTGTCCTCTTGGTCCCCTCCCACACACACCCCTCCCCTCTCCTCCTCTCTCAGCCCCCCTCCCCCTTCATGGCCCCGTTCAGTCTACTGGCCAAGTTCAGCCCACTACTTTCTCTTCTTGCTCTGGACTCTTCGTCTGGCTGTGCTTGCCCTTCTCATCAACCATGCCTTGGAATGGCCGTGTCCCCATTTGCCTTCAATGACACATGCCTGGAATCTCACGATTAGGAGGTTAGGGCAGGACAATTGGCATGCGTTCAAAGTCAGCCTGAGCTACACGACAAGGTTGAGGCCAGCCTGAGCTACAGATTCCGTAACTACAGAATGGGAGTTAGCTGTATTTTCCTCAGAAGGAACAAGGGGCACAGGCTATATCCAGTTTGTGTCCTTTGTCCCTTGTGGTTTGGCTCCAACTTGCCCCTCTCCTGAGACAGTGAGTTGCATGGCTCATGGCCCCACCTCTGCCCTACATATGATGGTGAGAGGTCTCCCACTAAGCTTTGGCAGTTCTAGACCTACATGATTCTTACGGTCCTGCTTCTCAGGAGGTCTGGAAGAGGGGGAGGTCCCTGGTCACGCAAGCTGGACTCGTGGAAGGACTGAGGATGCTCAACACTTGGGAGGCAGAAGCAGGTGGATATCTGAGTTCGAGGCCAGCCTGGTCTACAGAGTGAGTTCCAGGACAGCCAGGGCTATACAGAGAAACCCTGTCTCGAAAAACCAAAAAAAAAAAAAAAAAAAAAAAAGAAAGAAAGAAAAAGAAAAAAGAGTTGTCTTGGTCACGGTGTCTCTTCATAGAAATGAAACCCTGACTAAAACATGAACCTTAGATATAAAATAAGGCCGATTTAAGATCTTACAAGAAAAGAAAAAAAAAACCAAAAGATTCCTCCTTTTAGACCTAAGAAAGGAGGCCTTTTGTTCCCTGCTGAGGTCACTAGACCTGTTAGCAGGAACCAGACTCCTGGATCTGCAGTGTGCCCTCTATGCAGCCAAGACTACTCTGCCTGGCGTGCATGCCTGTCCCCACCAGGGTCAACTAATTTGATTTTTCTTATTTCTTCAGCACTTTTTCAGGATCAGAATAATGGAATTTGAAAAAGTTTTACTCTGTACTCCAGCTTTGGTTTAGAGTCACAGCAATCCTCCTGCTTCAACCTTCCAAGTGTTGGGATTACGTGTAAGAACCTCCATGGTTGGTTTATTTTTCTTATATAAAAATGCCTTGTGAGTTTAAAAACAAATTTTTAAGGGCTGGAGAGATAGCTCAGTGGTTAAGATCACTTGCTGCTCTTCCAGAGGACTCGGGTTCAGTTCCTCCCACCCACATGTACCTCACAACTGTCTATAACTCCGGTTCTAGGGTATTTGATGCCCTCTTCTGAGCTCTACAGGCATCAAGCATGCCTGTGATATACATACATGCATGTAAACAAAGCACTCATACAAAATAAATCTAAAAAAATTAAAAATCGCCAGATATAGTGGCACACACCCTTAATCCCAGTGCTTGGGAGGGAGAGGCAAGTGAATCTCTGTGAGTTCAAGGCCAGCCTGGTCTACTTAGTGAATTCCAGGGACTCCAGGGTTACATAAAGAGACCATGTCTCAAAGATAAATAAAAAATTTAAATAAAATAAAAATCCAGAAAATGTTTTGTTTTGCCTTTTCAAGATGGGGTTTCTCTGGGTAACCCTGGCTGTCCTGGAACTCACTTTGTAGACCAGGCTAGTCTTGAACTGAGATTCACCTGCCTCTGCCTCTCCAGTGCTGAACTTAAAGGCATATGCTACCATCCCTGGCTAGCAAATACTTTACATATCTTGACCTGACCCTGGGTCTGTTTCTGCAACACACGCCTTTCTTAACAAGAAAAACCCCTCATCCTCATTATGGGGCCTTGGAAGGGGGGCCTTTACAGACATAATTAGCTTAAAACCTACTGATAGATTAGAAGAAGATACCACACATGGAGAAGACCATGCAGAGACAGGCGATGCTGCCATGGGCTAAGGGATGCTGGAGTTTCTGTTGCCTAGAAACAAAGACAGGTTTAGAGGGGATGGTGCTCTGTAGACATCAGGTTCTGAGTCTCAAGCCTCCTCCTGATCCACTGAAGTATGTTCCTGGTTTTTAGTTATAGTAGTTATGGTCATTGGTTCCGCCAGAAGGTGAAGAGAGGTCTCCAGAGACTATGTCCCTGACTTAGTAGCTGCTTAATGACAGTGGACATGAGGCTTAATTCCCCATGAGTGTGGACACACACACACAGAGACACACACATACAGCCCTCTGAACTCCACGAGCTAAGTTTTCTTGATTTTTATCATGTTAATACTGTCCCTTCAATCACCCTATCCCCATACGCCCATCTTCATGCCCCATATCTCCCCCTCCCTCCAGGCCTACCCTTTCCCTTCTGAACAGCACACCTGAGACAGGGCAGGCCCATCCTCCTGGGACACTTGGTGGCACTCATGCAGTTTGTCAGCAGAAGCTAAGGGCACTGAGCTCCCCGGGGAGACAGAGGGCATGGACAGAAATGGCAGGCCCTTCTTCCCTGAAGGTACCCTTCCTGCTGTGGTTATGAACTTGAGGCTGATAACAAACTATTAGCTGACTCAATTTAGCCAGAACTCCCAAGCCCATTTTCATTTTGTTGGGTCATGTTGCTGGGCTGTCTAACCTGCTGGGCACATTGCTCCAGGGTTGCCCCATGGGATCTCAGTCTCTCTCTCTGTCTCTCTGTCTCTCTGTCTCTCTGCCTCTCTCTCTCTCTCTCTCTCTCTCTCTCTCTCTCTCATCAAGGAACTAAGTATTATTGATTTTTCCCACCATAAAGCTGTCCTTTCTCTCACCCTGTCCTGCCCTGTCCTGTCCAGTCCTGAAGCTGTTCTGTTTAACCTTTGCTCTGGACCTCAGGCCTTAACAGCCT